TGCCCATCAGTGCTGCCTATCAGTGCCACCTATCAGTTCCCATCAGTGCAGCCTAGCAGTGCCCATCAGTGCTGCCTATCAGTGCCTCCTCATCAGTGTCTATCCGTGCCACCTATCAGTGACACCTATCAGTTCCCATCAGTGCAGCCTAGCAGTGCACATCAGTGCAGCCTCATCAGTGCACATCAGTGAAGGAGCAACATTTTATAACGGAAGCTAAGAAAAATATATTTCTTTCAAATTTGTCGGTCTTTTTTTCGTTTAGCAAAAAATCTAAAGAAAATACCACCAAAATACCACCAAAAGAAAGCTCTATCTGGATCTGTTTTAACACTGCCTTAAACCACTTGGCATTTTACAAGAACTGTTTTCTCCAAAATCCCATATATACTGGAAAACATAATTGTGTGGAAGGTCAGAATACTATAAAAAGTGTACATGGATTAGATGCAGCATTTATGGGAAAAAGTGACTCATCTCTGTGTGCTTGACTTTATATATTTATTCTTATTACTTGCTGTAAAGTAGGCATCTTGGCTGTTTTTTCTGTGCAAATTTTATTTATGACACAAGATGATCATATAGGTAATGGTAAGAAGGGACTAAAAGAATAAAAAAGCCCTCAATGGCATTTAGAAAACTACATATGGTGTGCTTCTCACAGATGAATATGCAACTTGAGAACAGTTTGGAATTTCCGTAAAGCTGTCTTCCAGAGGATCGTTTTAATTCACAACACATCTCATTCCCATTTCAAGGCTCAAGATTCACTGAATCTCTCCTACTTACATTCTCTAAATTATTTGCATGCATTATGAATAAGGGAGAAAAGTTTATAGCTTCCCACAAATGCGTGAAACAAGAACACTGGCTGTCTAATATCCTGTTTTTTGTGTTAAAGCATTCAGTGACCTAAGCGAAACTAATTTTTCACCCAAACATACGCAAGAGAAAAAAAAAATGCATGATTGGATTTAAAGTCAGATAGAATGCCTTAGCCACAATTGTTTGACACTAAAACTAGCCATAGCTTCTAACAATCCCTCATTTGGAGGGACCATCCCGCCATTGGAATTAAATCCTTTTCTACCTCTTATCTCCTTAATCGCTCCTTTTTGCTCTGATGTACAGACCTATAAAAATGTACTTTTAAACTACCTATATTATTATATTGCACTAAATCTTTCATTCAACCTCAAAATTATTTGTTATTTTGAAATGTCAGTATAAACCCCGGACCCTGCATCCACTATATCTGGTCTCCCACAGTACACTGCAATTATTTTAGTAAATATAAACTGCTAAATACCTTTTCTCATCAGCGGTATATAGCAGTCTTGTGGTTTCTATCTGTGTCCAGCCCAGCACTAGCTAAAGCTTGTAAGAGGAGTTTTCTTTCTGCTCTAGGAGGATGGAAATCCCCTGACCTCTGTCTGGGGAGTGCTATTTGGCCCTATGCTGATCACATGCACTCTCCCAAGGAAAAAAAAAAAAAACCTCTCTAGCAATACACACCAAACTGAGCAGGCGCATGCCTACGGTTCAGTCTGGAGATAAGTGGCGGTCGCTGTAAAAAGGGGAGGAACAGAGACGATAGGATCAAACAGCCTTTTTACACAATGCAGATGATTAACCCCTTAGGTTCCACAGTGAGTATAACAAGCATGCTTTACTGCGTATACAGACTGATTTTACTGTTGTCAGTTTAGTAACACTTTAATAGAAAATACCCTAAGAACACTCAATTCTAAGAAATGCCTTTAAAACTTTCAATTAGCAGGGAAAATACCCTAAGAAAATCCAACTCTAACAGAAAATAGCCTAAGAACATTTGATTTTGCCCTGTTTGCACAACAGCCACAGCTTTACATGTTTTGAATAAAAATCCCTATAACTAATGAGCAGATGTAGGTTAAGTAACACAAACCGAAAGTACGTGCAGTCTTGCTTGACGAATAGCTCTGCAACTTTTTTTTTTATAAATAGACCTATAAGTCCTGTGCAAAGTAATAGAAAAAAAGAAACAGTTAAGCTGGTTCAACTGGGCTTTAAGAAAAAAGCCATTCTTTCAAGAGCAGCGAGGTGCACACAATTTCACTCATTGAGCTGCTTAGACCAAATTTCTATAAAAAATGTTTTCTTTTGTGTATGTAATTAGGATAGTTTAGATGATTCCATTAGTGTTTTTTTTGGACTTGTGTTTTTCTTCCCTTTTTGAGTAGTTTATTATTTTTGTACTCTGTGCACTCTCTGATATTTAAATATCCCCAAATTCTTCTCTAAGCAATTAATCCAGCTTCACCACTATATTTTATTTGACTTGCTCATCAAGGATAATATAAAGAATGCCACAACCATGATAATAGGATTTGGAAAATAAACAGTTTTCCCAAGGGTTCTAAAACATTATGTGATATTAATGACAACTGAGGCCAAGATGATGATCAATATTCAATTAAATGGCTGCCTACAGCTTTTCATATACTGTATAAATCCATTTTCATTTGATTTTCATTTTCAGGCTAAAATAGAAAATGCTGAAAAAATAACTATTATATTATACAATCTCTTTGAACGGAGCCGATCGGTTTCAGGCAGCCATTTTTTCCACATTTACTTGTACTCCAATCTGTCCAGCAAAAGTGACAGCGCAGAGGTTGGGGACAAGCTATAGCATTGCCAGGGGTGTTTTTTTTATATGGTTAATAAACTGTAATTTCACTGCAGAACTAACAGTGTTATCACCTTGTTAAGGGAGTGGAAAAATAAAAATTGTGAGAATCAACAGGCAATAAACCTATGATACAGGAGGATTCAGAAAAACAAAACTGTTGTGTTAAGGCTGGTAAAATATGCATCATATACTGTATACATGTAATATTTTATTTTGCCCCTACTTCTACTTTAACCACCTGCACTGCTCCCGTCCCGCCGTTTATGTACATGGGTCGGACGGGAGCAATGGCCATTTCCTGCTTCCCTGCCTGTGCGCACTCCCTTGGAGCACGCGGCACTGCGATCCGGTGCCCACTGTGTCCGGAGGACACAGCGGAACACCATCGCTCAAAGGGACCTCTGTGTGAGGTCCCGATCATGTGATCACTTATTGGCCAATCAGTGATCATATGAATAGTAGTAAGCAATATGTCACTTCCTGACATCATTGCTTACTACTAGTGAATTCTGTGAATGATCACAGAGGTCACATGGTACAAGGCTATTCACAACAGCCTTGTATCATGTGACAAGCTGTGACCAATCACAGCTCACACAGAATTTCTCAATGGCTGCAAGAATGCATCCATAGAGAAGGAGCAATGATTGCTTTTACAGCCTTTATGGGTGTAAAAGCAATCAGTGTAAAAAAAAAAAAAATCTTCATCACCCCCCCACAAGTAGTACAGTGTCACTATGGTGACACTGTACTGCTAGGGTGACAGTATGTAAAAAAAAAACAAAAACAGAAATAATAATATAAAAAACTAAAATAAAAATGTAAAAATAATTTTTGGTTATAAACTAATTTGGGTTATTTTTTTTACTAAATAGATAAATGAATACATTTTGGCCAAGATTTATAAAGAAAGATTATTTATTTGCAAAATTTTATAAGACAAACACTTTTTCTTCAAAATGTTTGGACTTTTTCATTTTTATGCTAGTGTGACAGTATGTTAAAAAAAAACATAAATAATAATATAAAAAAAAAAAAAATGTAAAAAAAAAGTTTGAAAAATTATAATTTTTGGTTATAAACTAATTTGGGTTATTTTTCTTTTACTAAAAAGATAGATGAATACATTTTAGATATGTTAAGAAAGATAATTTATTTGCTAAATTTTATAAGAAAAACACTTTTTTTCAAAATGTTTGGACTCTTTCATTTATATAGCAAAAAAATTTAAATCCTAGTGGTGAATAAATACTCCCAAAATAAAGTTTTATCTCTCTCAAAAAAATGCTAAAAAACTCATATGGGTACAGTGTTGCATGACCGCGCAATTGTCATTCAAAGTGTGATAGCGCTGAAAGCTGAAAATTGGCCTGGACTGGAAGGGGGTGAAAGTGTCCAGACTTGAAGTGGTTAAGTAAACAAAGCTCAGCATGGTCACATTGCAGCTGTTATTTTTCAAGTGGCAGGTAAACTTAAAAGTAAGCATATGATTAATTGCTATGGGTCACTTTTTCTTTTCTGTTTTCATACAAGATCCCTTTCATTTTTGTTCATTATATTTTATATATATTCATGCTTTATGGCAATTTTATCAATACAACTCCTGATATTTTCTTAAAGTGGTGTAAACCCCAAAAGAAAATATTTATTATATTACTCCTAGATTGTAAGCTCCAAGGATCAGGGCCCTCCTATCCCTCTTGTATTGAACTGTATTGTTGCTGTATATCTCCCATTATATTATAAAGCGCTGAGCAAACTGTTGGTGCTATATAAATCCTGTATAATAATAATAATAATAATAATATTGCAGCTTACCCTTGCTTAGATGTGATGGCTGCATTAGTTCTCTCTTTTTTATGCTTGCTTTCTTTTATTTTCATCTGGTGATCCAGTAAAAAGAACAAGCTGTCCAGTAGAATGTATCAGTATCAATGTACATGGATGAGACAAACCATTTAACACTAGGGGTGCTTAATATGATCAGCGTTTATTTATTTATTTAAAACCTTTATCCCAAAAAGAAAAAATAACTTTTTGTTGTAACTGCTTGTGAAGTATTATCTGGAGTTTGTCTTCAATTTGTTAGTATATTTAAATCTGCTAGTACATCTAACACTTCCCTCTCCCCTGACAATGCTGCTGTCCAAAGGTGTCCCCTGTGCTCCTCCATCCAGAGTGGGGGCACTCTAACACAGGAGGCGTGTTACTGACAAGATCACCAGGGGAAAACAGAAAGGGGAAAAAACAACACAAAAGAAAACAAATGCAGCCATCATTAAAATGACACTTAACGCTTAACATAAAAAATATATTTAAAGTGTTTCTAAACCCACAACAGTAAAATCAGTCTGTATACGCAGTAAAGCATGCTTGTTATACTCACTGTGGAACCTACGGGGTTAATCCTCTGCATTGTGTAAAAAGGTTGTTTGATCTTGAGTTCTCTTCTCCTCCTCTTCTTCAAATGTCCACTTGATAAATCAGACTAAACTCGTAGCCACATGCACATGATCAGTTTGGTGTGTATTGCTAGAGAGGTTTTTTTTTTTTCCCTTGGAAGAGTGCTTGTGATCAGCACAGAGCCAATCATCACTGCCCAGACAGAGGTCAGGGGTTTTGCATCCTCCTTTTTTTTTTACCTTGGGGGAGTGCATGTGATCAGCACAGAGCCAATCAGCATTGTCTAAACAGAGGTCAGGAGTTTTGCATCCTCCTTTTTTTACCTTGGGGGAGTGCATGTGATCAGCACAGAGCCAATCAGCATTGTCTAAACAGAGGTCAGGAGTTTTGCATCCTCCTAGAACAGAAAGAAAACTCCTCCTACAAGCGTTAACATGTGCTCTGCTGGGCACTGATAGAAGTGACAAGACTGCTCGAACTGCTGATGAGAAAAGGTATTTAGCAGTTTATATTTACTAAAATAATTGCACTCTGTGTACTGTGGGAGACCAGATATAGTGAATGCAGGGGCCTGGGTTTAGTACTGTGGGAGACCAGATATAGTGAATGCAGGGTCCTGGGTTTAGTACTGTGGGAGACCAGATATAGTGAATGCAGGGTCCTGGGTTTAGTACTGTGGGAGACCAGATATAGTGAATGCAGGGTCCTGGGTTTAGTACCATGGGAGACCAGATATAGTGAATGCGGGGTCCTGGGTTTAGTACTGTGGGAGACCAGATATAGTGAATGCAGGGGCCTGGGTTTAGTACTGTGGGAGACCAGATATAGTGAATGCGGGGTCCTGGGTTTAGTACTGTGGGAGACCAGATATAGTGAATGCGGGGTCCTGGGTTTAGTACCGTGAGAGACCAGATATAGTGAATGCGGGGTCCTGGGTTTAGTACCGTGGGAGATCAGATATAGTGAATTCAGAGTCCTGGGTTTAGTACTGTGACAGACCAGATATAGTGAATGCAGGGTCCTGGGTTTAGTACTGTGGGAGATCAGATATAGTGAATGCGGTGTCCTGGGTTTAGTACTGTGGGAGACCAGATATAGTGAATGCGGGGTCCTGGGTTTAGTACCGTGGGAGATCAGATATAGTGAATGCAGGGGCCTGGGTTTAGTACTGTGGGAGACCAGATATAGTGAATGTAGGGTCCTGGGTTTAGTACTGTGGGAGACCAGATATAGTGAATGCGGGGTCCTGGGTTTAGTACTGTGGGAGACCAGATATAGTGAATGCGGGGTCCTGGGTTTAGTACCGTGGGAGACCAGATATAGTGAATGTAGGGTCCTGGGTTTAGTACCGTGGGAGATCAGATATAGTGAATGCGGTGTCCTGGGTTTAGTACTGTGGGAGACCAGATATAGTGAATGCAGGGTCCTGGGTTTAGTACCATGGGAGACCAGATATAGTGAATGCAGGGTCCTGGGTTTAGTACTGTGGGAGACCAGCTATAGTGAATGCAGGGTTCTGGGTTTAGTACTGTGGGAGACCAGATATAGTGAATGCAGGGGCCTGGGTTTAGTACTGTGGGAGACCAGATATAGTGAATGCGGGGTCCTGGGTTTAGTACTGTGGGAGACCAGATATAGTGAATGCGGGGTCCTGGGTTTAGTACCATGAGAGACCAGATATAGTGAATGCAGGGTCCTGGGTTTAGTACCGTGGGAGATCAGATATAGTGAATGCAGGGTCCTGGGTTTAGTACTGTGGGAGATCAGATATAGTGAATGCAGGGTCCTGGGTTAAGTACTGTGAGAGACCAGATATAGTGAATGCAGGGTCCTGGGTTTAGTACCGTGGGAGATCAGATATAGTGAATGCGGGGTCCTGGGGTTAGTACCGTGGGAGATCAGATATAGTGAATGCAGAGTCCTGGGTTTAGTACTGTGACAGACCAGATATAGTGAATGCAGAGTCCTGGGTTTAGTACTGTGACAGACCAGATATAGTGAATGCAGGGTCCTGGGTTTAGTACTGTGGGAGACCAGATATAGTGACTGCAGGGTCCTGGGTTTAGTACCATGGGAGACCAGATATAGTGACTGCAGGGTCCTGGGTTTAGTACTGTGGGAGATCAGATATAGTGAATGCAGGGTCCTGGGTTAAGTACTGTGAGAGACCAGATATAGTGAATGCAGGGTCCTGGGTTTAGTACCGTGGGAGACCAGATATAGTGACTGCAGGGTCCTGGGTTTAGTACCGTGGGAGATCAGATATAGTGAATGCGGGGTCCTGGGGTTAGTACCGTGGGAGATCAGATATAGTGAATGCAGAGTCCTGGGTTTAGTACTGTGACAGACCAGATATAGTGAATGCAGAGTCCTGGGTTTAGTACTGTGACAGACCAGATATAGTGAATGCAGGGTCCTGGGTTTAGTACTGTGGGAGACCAGATATAGTGACTGCAGGGTCCTGGGTTTAGTACCATGGGAGACCAGATATAGTGAATGCAGGGTCCTGGGTTTAGTACTGTGGGAGACCAGATATAGTGAATGCGGGGTCCTGGGGTTAGTACTGTGGGAGACCAGATATAGTGAATGCAGGGTCATGGGGTTAGTACCGTGGGAGACCAGATATAGTGAATGCAGGGTCCTGGGTTTAGTGAGAGACCAGATATAGTGAATGCAGGGTCCTGGGTTTAGTGACACTTTAAGGTAATTTACCCAGTGTAGCCAACAACACAGTGATCGATATTTTTGTTGTTTCTCTTGACAGTAAGGCTATAATTTGTAACCTGAAAACAGCATCTCATTAGTAGTACATAAAAATAATAGGTAAACATTGTGGCCATGGCAGTCTCTGTAAAAATCATTGGGTAAATATAGCTATTACTATGTCCTCATATATTATAGCAGGAATAAATAAGCCTACAGCATTCTAAAAGCAGCAATCCGCAATTCATGAAATCTTTTTATACTGTGGCTCCAAATACAGTAGCTGCAATCAGAGTTGATCATACCAAAAACAACTTATAAAATGCATTGTTACTGTGTATTGCATCTATTCATACTGGATAAAGAGATTTAGCTTATGCTGAATATCATTTTTCTCCTTTAGTATAGGCTAGTGAAGCCAGAAGGCAATCTAGACAAAATACAGCTCAACAGAAATGCTATTGTAGCCTCATTTTAACTGGAAATTGTGTGTCCCTCATTCCCCACTTTTAATCGGAAATCTAACAGGGACACAGACAAAACAAAAAACATTTTTAGCGGAGTGGGGAAGGGTTACATTTCACAATGTTTTTTTTATCACTGTCTGTGCTTTCCATGAGCCATGAGCATGTGTTAACCACTTGCCTTCCTGAGGATTTACCCCCCTTCTTGACCAGGCCATTTTTTTGCTTTACAGCACTGCAATAATTTAACTGACAATTGCATGATCATGCAGCGCTGCACCCAAATGAAATTTACGTACTTTTTTTCCCATGAATTGAGCTTTCTTTTGGTGGTATTTGATCGACTGTGCGTTTTTTATTTTTTGTGCTATAAAAAAAAAGGCCAACAATTTTGAGAAAAAAAAACAATATTTTTGACTTTTTGCTATTAAACATGTTCAGTAAAAAAATCTAATTTCCTCATAAATTTACACCAAAATGTATTCTGCTACATGTCTTTGCTAAGAAAAATTCCAAAATGTGTAAATTAATTGGTTTACAGAAAAGTTATAGCGTTTACAAATGGTGGTATATATACTGGGATTTTTCTTTTCCATTTTTACTAGTAATGGCGGCGATTAGCGACTTATAGCAGGACTGATACTGGGGAACTGACTTGGTGTCACTGACATCCCCAGTGATACCAGTACAGTGATCAGTGCTAAGAAAAAATGTGCTGACAACTGTACTAAAGGCACTGGGCAGGAAGGGGTTAACATGAGGGGCGATCAAAGGGTTAACTGTGTGCTGGGAGTGTTTTACAAGGGGGCTGTGTGCACAGCCATCCACAGCAGTGTGCCCGAGCTAACAGGGAGGAGGACTGTTAGTAAACAAAACAGTCCTCCTCCCCGTCAGAGATCCTCGGAAATCACCGGGCGCCGGCGAGTAATTACCAGCCAGGGCCCGGTGATTGACAGCCGCGATCATGAACAGCGGCGCAGGTAGGGTGCGTGGCTAGCACGCGCCCCCTACCCGGAAATGCAAAATCACGTATATATATATATATATATATATATATATGCGTGATTTTGCGCACTGCTGCACCCTGCAGCAGTATTTCTGCTATAGGGTGGTCGGCAAGTGGTTAAAATGACCCACTATACTCAGACATACGCAAAGTAATTTTTTTTTTATACATAGACCCCTTAGTGTTCATTGCAATGTCAAAGCTTGCACATACTTTGAACAATGTATTATTTGCTTTATGTGTGCACAACAAATGTGGCATACAGATCGTTTACACTAGGATGCAACACTCCACATATTAAAGCGATTCTAAAGGTTAATTTTTTAATTGTAAAATAACAAACATGTGTATACAGTACTTACCTGCTCTGTGCAGGGGCTTTGCACAGAGCAGCCTGGATCCTCCTCTTCTCGGGTCCCCTACAGGCTCTCCTGGCCACTCCTGTCCTTCGGGTACCCCCACAGCAAGCAGCTTGCTATGGGGGCACCTGCTGCTCCGTGTGTCCATTCACACACAGAGCCGTGGCTCAGCCCCACCCCCTCTCTCTCCTCATTGGCTGACTGGCTGTGATTGACAATAGCGGAAGCCAATGGCTCCCCCTTGCTTTCTTAGCCAATGAGGAGGCAGAGACCCATGGCAGCTGAGACTGTCATTCAGATCGCTGGATTTTGATGAGGCGCAGGTAAGTATTGAGGGGGCTTGGGGCACTGCTGCACACAGAAGCTTTTTTACCTTCATACATAGAATGCTAGAAGGTACCTTGAGACTTTACATCCACTTTAAGGGCTATGTTAGAGTTGTTCAACCTTTTGAAGAGTGAGGGCAACTTACGTGATTTGGTAACTGGTCGTGTGCCACAATGAAATGAAATGATTCAGAATTTATTTCAAATTTTAAATGGCATAATGAACATTTTCCACCTGCAGCTGCTGATTACTGGCTGGGGTGGGGGGAGGAGGAGGACTAGCCGGCCCCTGCCGCCCCTCCGGTACAAGCATAAAACAGAATGCGACAGGGAGGTCGAATGGGCCACCTGGAGTATGGGGCGGGTTTGCCATTGAGACCCTTGGCGCTACACTTCTGGCTGGGGGGGGGGGGTATAAACACATCTCAACTATGGGATTTTACTGCATCCAAACCGCAAAAGTAAACAAGCCCTTACTGTATAAGGTGGCTTTCACACTGATGCACTGTGGTTTATCTGGACCAGGGTGCATTGCAGTGCACCTGTGGGTTAGCTGCCATTTGCCATAGACTTCTATTGTATCCTGTGGGTGTGGTGCACTTTTTGAGACTTCGGTTTGAGGTGGAAGGCCACATCAGAGGGTTGTGAGGACCACATGTAGCCCACGGGAAACAGGTTAAGCACCCCTGGGCTATGTAATACACATTTTTGTTTTGATACTTTATACTGCATACAGTTGAACCTTTTTTGCTTTGCCCTGAAAACTGGATCCTGGGGTTCAAATAAGAAATATTGCATTTCCTCCTTTGGTAACTACATATCTTTATAAGGCTGCAAAGCATGCGTTTTTAACACTTGCACTGTATGTAACAATAAAATTGACATCATATGAGTTAAAAGATTACAGCAAAAAAAAATCACATTACTTTGGGTAAAAAAGAACCTGTTTTACCATGAAAATAAAGCTCTTGAGTTATTTAAAAACTAAAGAGGAAAAATCACAAGGGTGGCTACCAGGAATATGGGGTGTTTCAAATCAATGAGAGAGACTAAATGTAGAGTCTATTGGACGCTAGTTAGTCTTACAGCAAAATAAAGGACAAAAAAGGCAAAACACTGTGCAGTACTAGGAAGAAGGAAAGAAAGCCTGCACATGTAATTAGTAAATATGGTTGCTCCCAAGTGCCTTTAAAATTAAACACTGTACAAACTCAGTTTTTGTATTATAACACTCAGTTACGATTATTAACATTAAGAAGTGTAGTGGCATGTCCATTTAAGCTGGCCATAGATGGACTGAATCTTGGTTGGTTCAGCAGGGACTGGCCAAGATTCGATCCATCTATAAGCCGGCTGGTTGTACTGAAGTTGATCTATCAATCGACTTCAGTACAACCAGCCTGTTGGATTTTTTGCATTTGATTACTGCTGGGGGCTATAAAAGTAATTATTGTGCTCTGCCAGCACGGAAGGCTCCCTGCCGGCAGAACACAATAATGCTGCAGGAGAGATACCCCCATAACACAGTCAGTTACAGGAAAGAAAATCGCATAATCTTTGGCATGCCTAGGTTAAGCATGTAATAAAGACCCATAAAGCTGGGTACACACTATAAGGAAATCGGTCGAACAATCGTTAAAATTGAGAAGTGTGGACTATAAAGTTCTGCTTCTCATCAAGTATGGTCACACACTCAGAGGAAGTCATGTTGATGAAAGGCGTCAGGGCGTGACCATACGTGACGTCAGTACGTTCACTGGATGTGACGACGACCCTCCACCCGGAAGTGGCGCAGTGGGCTGTGCACAGATGTTCGGTGAGACTCCAGGCAGCCATTCCATGTGGTGAAAGCTGTCATATTGTCATTTGATGTGCTTACTATTTATATCCTATTATGAGTGTTATAATCTAAGACAGCATTCAGACAGGATTACATTATGTGATTCGTTTGTGCTTTCTATTTATGAGTCGGAGTGATTGGATCATATCTATTTTGGAGGAGGATTAGAGTTTTGCCAGATTAACACCATGTTCCGCAGAGTGCGTTGTTTGATGGGGAGAGTGTCTCACAGGATACATTGTGGTGTTGGAGTGGAACAACTTGAATCGAAGTTCTGTCATAACGACTTTTTTTTTTTTAGAAGGATTTATGTGGTGGACTTTCCTATATGCACTCTGCTACACCTGGTGAAGGATATTATTTCAACTATTGATGATCCCAATTACAGATGTATTCAATGTTATGTTTTATAGATATTCCTATTAGTTTGTATATTGATAGAGCTCTAATGGGTGAAGCGCTGTTTTTGTAAGGACATGTATTTGAGTCATATTTCGTGATATTGTTGGTCAGTGTTTTTGATCATGCGCAGTCTTTTCTATCTGAATTTTCTTGTACGGAAATAGTACACATCAAACAAAAATCGTTAGTTCTGTTCACGTACGAGAAAAAGTTTGGAGTTTGAAAGTTATGTACACACTATATGAAAATTGAACGGTCGTTCCTCATATGGAATTTTTCTTCATATTTTCTTATAGTGTGGACCCAGCTTTACTCACCAGGCTCAGATTCAGATGCAGGCCCCTTTAACTCCATCGCCCACAACTCCCTGGGTTTTTGGATACAACCAGAGAAAGTAAATTTCTCTGCATACACCCTTCAGCAGCTCAGGAAGGCCACATTTGATGAGGCAGAGAGTTGGACAAGGGATTTGCAAGCAGGTGACAAGCACTCGACTGTCAGAACTGGCATGTGGGCAGCCAGGCTGGACTCTAAGAGCATGCAGCTTCTCTAAAAGACCCATGAATAGTGGGGAGCTACTCCCTAATGGCTACCAAAGTACTGCAATTCCTTTGGCTTGACTATACTATGCAGTCACATATTACGCTGAGCCACAGAGAAATTGTTGGAAATAGACCATATTTGTATTATTTTGCTGTGCATGCACACTTTTGCCATCCTGAACTTGTTTTGCATTACTACTTCTAACATTGCACCTGTTTAGTAAACTGCAAGTTCCATTTACTCCATGGCTGATCATTCAGGCCTATACTGTTAAAGATGATATCTGTCACATATACCGCATATCTAGTAGATTACATTTGCCCTTTAATCACTGCAAGACACAACATGGTAGTGAGCAAGTATTAGGGAAAATATAGTTGTATAAACTCAAAAACCCAGCCAAAGCACATGTGTGCTTAACTGAAAATAAATCTTACCTGGAACTATTTCGAATAAGAATTTCCCTGGACTGTCTTCATTGCATGGGTGCTCCACCACTCTGTTTCCAGGCAGAAAGATGGTACCCTGGAAAAATAAAATGATTTCATTAAGATGTATCTTAACTATCTAAAAAATTAAGAAACTGGTTTAATTTTGAGTTGATCATTCTTAGGTTAATGCAAACCTATCAGCAGATTGTTGAAAAGCTCTGCGGTATTGTACATTCAGATAGCTAGATATTTTTCCAGCTAGTTTGAGAGATCCATGGAGACAGTTAGCCAGGGCCACCGGAGGATCCTCTGCTGGGCTCTGCTATGTAAGCATATTATATCTGATGTCTCAACGAGCTCCAGATGTTTACCTTCCACTACAAACTAGAACACGCAGCTTATGTATGCAGACTAGTAAAAAGAAAACAAGAGCACTCCACCAACTGAAACATATACAGTACTAGTTAAGATCCTGTCTAAATCCTTCTTTGGAAAACCTCCTGCTGGCAATCCAATGACATAACCACCACCCTATGCCACACCACTTTTATTGAGGCACAAGCAGCTTATGTATGCAGACTAGTAAAAAGAAAACAATAGCATTCCACCATTTGAAACATATACAGTACCTTTTACTTGCAACTGTGAGCTATGACAGATTAGATTCCTTGACAGAAGAGGCTGTGACATCTATAGAACTAAGTTGAAACAATATGCACGTCACTTACTTTCTAATGGATTTGTAATGCCTTGAAAAACGTAAAACTGTAAAATTTTAAACTAATGTATGTAAAGATGTCTTGTTTCCTAATTGGGGAACTGGAGCCTTCAACTGTATTATAAACTGCAAAGTCTAAAAAGGAAGACAGGAATGCCACTTTTTCTGCCTCAGCCATTTATATAAGTAAAAGAATAGATTTTTGGTAAGTGAATTATAAAACTGATATCAAAAAAATTAATATACCTTGTTCATTATAATAACCCCATTAAATAAGTATACAGTTTATTTAATATATACTGGCAAAACAAATATTGCCGAAATACAAGGCCATGTTTATTCTTATCCAATCCAAATCTTTGGATCCTTTGTGTGCTTATTCCAGATCTGTACAGTAATCCAG